GCTTTGCTCTCATCTCTCACGGGGTTGCGTAGTTGACTGTTCGATTCAGGATCAACTTTCTCGACCGTCGTGGTTGTTTCTGAGGACGCGTCCAGGACCAGCAATGGTACATCTGCCGACAAATACTCTTCCCGTGGCATCAGAATTGGCTCACTTCTCTCATCAGGAGAAGGCCCACACTGCGACTGAATATGCTCATCGTCCAACAGAGGCGCATCCTCATCAACTTGCCCAATCGTCGTCGACGCCGCGGACGGTTTTATCCGTTCCATAAGCTGCTGCAACGGCCTCGTCGGCTGACAATCCGCCAACCGCTCCATATCCTCAAACGTAAACGATCCAGAGTCCTGATTCCTCGTAATCAAGTCCAGCTTCGGCTGTGCTGCATCCGCCACGTCGTCGAGGAGCGGTTCCCGCACCGACGGCCCATCACTCGGGCTCGACTTTGGATTCTTCCAAAACGCAAACGAAGGCATATTTCAAAAGACTAACTTGGATAAACTTGAAGGAGTGTGAGTAGTCGACAAAAAAACGACAATGAACGCCCACCTCGCGCATCCGCCCCTCTACATATACCTTCCTCCTTCCCATTCCACCCATCCCGCCTGATCTCCCAAACCGGCTATACCCAGCATCACACACAGCCCTTCACCTGCATCGTTGTTTCTGCTTCATTGTCGCCTTCGTGCATAGCCAGGTCACCCCACAGCATCCGATTGGTCGCGTGTTTGCTGAAACGCAGGGCGCAGGGATGTGCTCGAGCGCGCGCGTTACAGACGGGATTATGGTTCATGCAAACCCCGACGGTATCGTCAGCAAGGATAAGCGTTAATCATTGTGGTTTATGCAGAGGTGGTGGAAGGAGATTTGATGAGGTGGGGGAGGGATCGACGGTGGTGGCGGTGGGGAGGGTTGATGTTTCTGGAAACAAAGGCTGGGTGTGAAGTTGAGGGTTATTTTTGGACCGAAACGTCATTCCTAGGTTTTGGATGGGTGCTTTACAGCTTCTAGGAGGATACATGTCTCTCTATCTCTCCACCGATAATGCGGTGATTGGGATGAACGTTGACTACATCCAGCTCCCCAAACGAAGCGCCACTCAATCACGTAGACACCACCAAACTCTAATCCCCAGTATCAGACCACACACACGCCACCCAACTACACACGCCATTCAAGCCACCGAACATCCGAAGCAATTGACTCTTTCGTCCACCACGCACTCTCGCCCATCCAAACCCTTCTCAAAGCGCCCACCCCATCTACCAAATCCACCTCCAAACCCGAACTTGCACCACCATCGCCCAGAACATTAATAACAACTGTACATGCCACTTCACACACCTCCTCCATTCCCATCTCCATCCCGCTTCCCTCTCCCCTAGTCCCAGATAATCAAGCATCGGGAGCGTCATGTATCCATGCAGTGGCGCAACCACAAACAGCAGTGCGAGCGTGCACAACTCGTCGGGCGAGGCGGATGGCGGGAAGAAGCGCAAACATGTGGGGATGTGCAGGGTGGATTCGACGTGTGCGAAGGAAGTGCCGATGTGGATGAGGAGGTGGGATAAAGTTTGGGGAAGAGACATGGTTAGGTAAGGTTACGGTGGGTATGTGATTTGAAGTGATTGAGGTTCTAAGGAATCTGTTTGTGTGTGTGTATGTGTATGTGAGAGAGAAAGAAGTAGTTTTGTTCCAAAGTATTTTCTTTTTTTTTAAACGTGTGTGAAGAATTTGAGGTGTCATGGATATAGAATTCAATTGAGGAACCGTGGTCGAGGTACAGATTGGCGTACCATCTTTTGAAAGAAAAAAAGTCCTTTTCAACACTGCTGTCGAAATGCCATAAGTCTCACAAAACTATCAAGGCCATGCACATCAAGATACAGGAACTTGAAAACATCTATTCCGCTTCCGTTCCTACACCAGATATACATATACATTTAAAACGGCCATACATCCGTTAACCCCTCGGAAAATCTCATTCGCTCGTTTGTCAATCAATCGTAAAAAGCTACCGTGCTCACATAATTCCCGCAGCCGCTAAACTCCATCTATGAAAAACAGACCCGATCATGTAGAATCTCACATCCGAAGAATGTGTGAAAGAGAGAGAGAGAGATGCACAGACCACACATACCTGCAGTCGCATGGAGTCAAACTCGTAAAAGAAGGAAAAGCGCCAAATTATGCCCGTTTGTTCGAAGAGTCAAGCCGAAGCCCCCAAGCTTTTTTATATCCCGTTGTGTAGATGTTCGTAAAAATCCGAAGATAATGTCCGCATATTCGGTTGCGGAAATGTGACGTGCCATCAAATGCCCACTTTAACTTTTTTCAAATTCATGTCGAGATGTGAGAGATGTTCAATCGAGTCGAGCCCCGCTTCAGGCATTGTTGCCCCATGGGTTATTTTCGCGACCGAGACCAGACGAGCCAGTGGCGCGGTGACCGCCAACGGGTGCGAGGTTGGGACTTCCCTTTCCGCCGCTGCCCCAAGATAGACCACTCAGACGTTTGTTGCTGTTGCTCGAAGTTGTGGACGCTCCATCTCGGCCTTTTGCGATGTCCTCCTCTTCCTCCATGCTAAACAGACCCTGCTCTTCTTCGATGCGCTCGCGGTTGATGCTACTACTGCTGACAGCGCGATCCATGCCAAGTCGTCCACCCGAGCTACCGACGCTCGATCCAGATGTTACGCGGTTGATACCAGGGTGCATTGGATTGCTAGTGAAGCCGGCTCCTTCACGCGAGGACAGTCGGGTGCGCTGCATCTGCTCGTTGAGCATGTTCATAGAGGTGTGACGTGGAGGAGAAGAAACAAAAGGACTGGTGTCTCCGGATGTTGGTCGGTTTAGAGCACGTAGGGAGGGGCTGGCTCCAGGATGCAGGCTGGAATTCCGGAGAGGCGATCCAACATGGCCGAAAGCTGAGGCTCCCGGTGATCCGGACTCAAACCCACCATTGTAGGTGGGTTGTGGCTTGCCCCATAGTGACTGGAATCTCGACGGAGATGCAGTGGCTGCGTTCGGTGATCCGATCTTGAGGTCTGATGCGGTGGGTGACGCACCAAGTCGCGACATGGAAGTACGGTGTGAAAACGATGTTGCCTCCAAATCACCCTGGTCGCGAGAAAAGCGGCGCATCTTCTCCTGCGGGGTAAGTAGATCGCTGAGCGAATTTGGTAGCAGGTCCTCCTCGAACTTGCCAATCATGTCAGAATCATCCCACTCGTCGTCCTTGTACACTGGTCGCGCTCCAACGCTCGAAGACATGATACCTCTTGACCGGTTGGCGGCGAGTTCCGAATGAAGCACTCTCCGTCCAACTGGCTGCTCGACCGACTCGGGCGGCGACGAACCCAGCACAGCTCTGCTCCGCGAACCATCCCCAAAGGCAGAATCGTGGAGATTCCGAATAGCGGCCGAATCGACAGGATACGACGAAGGTGGCGAGCCGGCCGAGGAATTTGGCCGGAACTGAAGAAGCAATCGGGCCGTATCGCGCCATGTGAGAAATGCCCTGGCTATCAAAGGAGGCTGGGAGAGGAACATCCATAACACTGAGGCCCTTCTGGACGGGCGAAAGCGGGATGCGGCCGTTGTCGTTGGGTGGCGAGCCGTAGTTGGAGCCGGGATGTGACGAGAACGTGGTGTCGATGGTAGGGATCATGTCGTACTGATTCTTCTGGTTCGCGTAATCGTCGTGCATGCCGTACGGGAAGCCTGGCTGCATGGGCGCCATGTGTGCCTGCATGGTGAGCAGCGAGCTATTGGGAGGCAGCTCAGCGCCGTGTGAGATGTTCATGCGGCTGAAGTGTCCTCCACCACCGCCATTGTGCCGGTTCACGACATGGCCGTTGGGCAGGATGTGAGCAAGGGCGCACTTCTGGCCGAACTTGCAGTTTCCCTTGAATCATGTTAGCCATGGGCCGGCTGAGTCAGCCGTGTGTCTGACCTTGGTGAAGTATTTGCAGGGCGCGCGCTCGGTGATGGGCTCGTCCGAGTGCAGGAACGGACAGGCCTTGCCCGCCTGGCACGCGCCTTGCCGGTAGAATTTACACGGCACATGTGAAGTGTCTACAATATGCCAGTCAGCAGCCGCACGTGCAGTCTCAGCTTCATCGTCACCCACTCTTGTTGTTGGGAGGACTACGCGGACCGCCAAAGGCCATATCGCGGTTGCCGTGGCCATTGCCCATGCGCCCACCCGGCACTGCCATGGGCCCGTTGCCGTTGGGGCCAGCCATTGCGCCGTTGGAGCCGTGGTGTCGCAGGTCGCGCGAGGCCCGGCGGGAGACTTGCGGGCTGGAGGAAGTCAGGGACGCGGCCAGCTGGTGGGAGAAGGGTCCGTGTTGCGAGTGCTGTGGTGGGGGAGCGTGGTGGTGGGGCGTGTCGTGCGGAACTTCAGGCTTTGGGTGGCTCGTGGGCGCAAAGGTCGTCATGTCTCTAGCGCGCTTCGGCACCGCGGTAACAAGGCGGTACAAGGTCGCAGGAACAGCGACAGACAAGTGAGAGAAAGGCGGCAAGTCCGGGGACAGTGAAGATTGATATCACTTCCTGCAATGACCGCAGCCCGACAGCAGCTAGGCTCCACTTGGTATCGAGGGAAAAAGATCGCTTATGGCGGCCTGCAGTATGTACTGGAGCAGCCTGCACTTGCGTGGACACGTCCGAACCTGGTGCTTTCGCCGAGTCGGCCAGTAATTGCGCGTGCCTGCGAGTGAGGCAAAAGACGGGTGAGGATTGCAAAGAGCTGCACAATGATACGTTGACTTCCGACCTATATCTAGCCAGATGCCTCTGCGAACGGCGGCTCCCGCGTGATGGCTACGTCTTGGCCCGCGTGACGCCATACCAGTTCCCTGCAGGCAGACGTCAAACTGCTTAGTGTAGACAGGGAGGCCGCACCACGCCTCGTCCCTCCCGAAGAGCGCCGACATCGACATGTCTTGCGTGCACATGGCCAACCATTTGAAAACATATGTCGGCCTCCCACTGCACTGGAAGAGCGACCCAGCCCAATCAAGCCGTCACGCGTCCTGAAATGACTATCAGGGTCCCCCCATCACCTAGTCATCTGTAGCTCGGACTACAGCCCCGAGACATCATCTGCAGCACGAGCATGTCCTGAACAGGTAGTAGTCAGTCCACATTAGTATTCATGCTATTTCCAAGACATGCTACGCTAATTCTCATATCGCCACCATACTATCCATCTGATCCTTATCATCACAACAGCAGAGAAAGCTTAGGAATGGCCGATCCTCAGTATACCCGCCGAGCACGTGTTGTTGTACCATTCTAGTTGTAGGTCATCCAACATGTGTATCTGCGGTATTTTCAGACCGGCTGTGAACGCGTTGAACTGGATACCAGAGAGCGCCCGGAACTGCTCGTTGAAGAAGACTTGCGTGAGCCGACAGCGAACGTAAAGTGGACACACCGGTAGTGTTGCGTTCTGTTCAGCTACAAGAACCTCCGTCTGGAGCGTCGCATCGTATCGGAATCCCGAGATGCGCAGCAGACAAGGCGTGACGCCGTTGAGCGCGCAGCCAAAGTAGCCCGAGTAGGCGTTAAACCAATACGCGTCGACTGAGGCACGAGGTCCAGCACCCAGCTCACCGGGCAGCAGAGTGCCTGCAAAGGGCTGGTTGGGTCGTACTTTTCCTGTCACGGGAAGGAACATGGCCACGTTCGGTTGCGACATGGCAGGGTACGGCTCCCACTTGTCTGGCATGTCGGTATACCCGTTTGCGTAGAAGAGGTGGTGGTATGGATTCCTCAAGCCATGGACTGCATGAACTTCGTCCCCTGTCGAGCTGACAGTAGTGTCATCGAAGTTGAGCGTAAAGTTGCCTGACTCTCCACACGTTGTTGGGCCTGGTGGCTCGGATATCCCAGCACTTGTCGGCGATGCAATCTCCACAGTCGTCGTCAAGAGTGACTCGAGCACCTGAGGAATTGCATTCTCGTTTTACATCGCGCTTGTCCGGCCCATCGTCATCGTATATGGTTGTCACCACCGTTTTGAAACTTCTTGGGCGCGAGGAGAAGATTGAAAATGATGGCAGCGCAGAGATTGGAGTTTGCGTGGTAGACCTAGTGGTTGGCACGACTGTTTGAAGATCTGACGGCAACGGGCCAGTCGCGATTGGGTTCGCACCAGTCCAATACGATATTGTCGTGGTAATATCAGGAGAGGGGAAGACGAAACTGAATTCCGTGTCGCCGTATGATATGACTTTTGTAGTGAGACCTTGCACGTCGACCGATGACGTTGAAACTGTCGGCACAGCAGATATTGGGGATGTTATAATCGAAGACGGAGATGATAAATGGGTGGTAGTATCGGTCTGCATCGTAATAGACCCAGCAGAAGAACCTGCGGGTAGCGTGCCACTTGCGGGGTTCGATATAGAAGACGAGGAAGCTAGCCGAGTTGATGTACTACTGCCAGAAGTAGTGGCTGAGATAACGCTTGATGATTCGGGCAATAGTGGCGAAGATGACGATGAAGAGCTTGTCAGCCGGCTACTGGATGAAGATGTTGTGTTCATGGGTGGCACCAAACTGCTGAACATACTCGGCGAAGTCGCGCCCGGCACCCCACCAGTTGTTGTGCTCGTTGAAATTCTGCTTCTTGAGGACGAGGATGACAAGATAGAAGTACTGCTCGAAGACGTATTTAGCGAGCTCGTTGATGATGACACGGTTGGTAAGACTGAGGTTGCAAGCGTCCCTGTTGAGCTTGGTATAGTTGCACTTGACGATGAAGATGCCGACGACGCCACTGTTATCGACAATGTAGCCCAAGAACTAGAAGCAGCTAGGCTCGAGCTACTCGAGCTGAAGGAAGTCATCGATGGTATTCCTGCGCTACTGGCCCCTGGACTTTGTGGTGCAGAAGACGACGGCCAAGTGAATATGCTTGAGCTCGGCGCAGAAGAGGTCCCCGCACTACTTGTCGATGAAACAGGAACACTTAAGCTCGAGGCACTTGAAGCCAGGGTAGAAGAAACTATGGCCGGCGCAGATGTCGTGGATAGCTGAGTCAAAGTAGTCCTGAAGCCTGATGTGACTCGCGTCACAGTGCTTGTGATGACTGAGGGCGCGCTAGTAGCAGCGGTGCTCCCTGGTGCTGGAGAAGGACTCGGCAACGAGATTGTGAAGCTACTGCCTTGCGTAGAAGTCGTGCTGGATGGTGAACGTGGTACCGAACTAGTCGAAGGTAATATTGGCGACGATGGAGCACTGATCATCATCGTAGAAGGCAAAGTCATCGTAGTGGTTTGTACACTCGAAATTATGCTTGTGATCATGGTCGGAGTATTCGAAATCGTACTCGTCAAAGTGCTAATGCTGCTCATTGTAGTTGGTATTATCACACTGGAAGGGCTTGCAGGAGGCGAAACGACAATATTTGTGGTGGTGAAGTGACAACGGATGTTGTGGTGGAGCCATTTGGTGTTGTGCTTATGAGCGTTGTGATAACAGTAGAAGTGATCGGTAAGGACGTGATGCTGGTCGGTCGAGGCGGCGCACCTTCAATTGTTGTTTCGGTTACTCTGGTTATAATTGTGGTCTGTCCTCCAGTAACGATACTCGTTGCGGTTATTGTGACGCTGGAAATCGTGCCAGAGGATGGCGAGGAAAGTGTGCTGGAAGGCAGCGTAGAGAGCGACGATGTTGCGATACTCGGAGGTGTAGCATATTGCGAAGTTGTGCTAGGTACAGTTGAGAAAGTGAGCGATGTTCCGGATGATGGTGCAACAGACACTGATGAGATGATCGGTGTAATCTCGGGTGTCTTCGTGATGAGAGTGCTAAACTGGCTGGGCGGAGTGATGCTGTTCATCCACTCTGTCGTTCCATTTACCACAGAGAAGTAGTATGTACCCTTCGCTGGGTTCGATGGAGAAGCATTGATGAGAGAGATGGTGATGATCGGGCCATGGGACAGTTGACGTAGACAACGCTGCAGCCAGTGTCGGTAGAAGTATCTTGAGCGGAAGCCGTCTTCAACATGCTAAGACCAAGCTCCAAGGCCACGTAGCCTGCAAACATAACAGCCGCTACAGTAAACAAGGTCAATAATAGGTCATACCATCGAGGGCCTGTGCACGCTCGACCCAAGGCGAACAAAAGGTCCTTCGTCCATCGATATGTACGGCATGGCCACCACTCGACGAGGCCTAAGTCCCCACACATGCGGTGTGACGGGTTCTAGCATGGATGCGAGCGACTGTTTCCGCCCCTTCCCCACGTGCTTGAGATGACCGAGTCTCGCTTTTCGTCGTTCGCTTTCAGTATGGACTGGCCGACCGGTCCGCTGCAGGAGGGGAGGATCGGTAGTTCTGAAGTACTATCGGATGTCCGATGAGTCGGCGAGGGGTCTCGACTAGCGAAGCTAGAGGATGTAGTCAAGCTTGAAGCAGTAACAGGTACGATTCGCTTCTCGGGAGCATCTGTGGCCTCTTTTCGGAAGTTTTCGTCCGACTTCCTGGACTTGTTCTTGCTCTTGTTCTTATTCTTGCCCATGGTGCCCATGAGAAGATGTTCGAGTATGATGCGGTTTCGAATATATTCGTGCTATGCTGTTGTGCAAGAATCGCGGTGCTGATGCAGAGCAGTGGTGAGAACATACAGGCCAGGACTGAACAGATGAGATTGATGCCATTACGCGTGGACATGGTGATGCCTTCCACCTGTGTGAAAATAAGCTAAGGTAGGGAGAGTGCGGCTTGGAGAAGAGGGATTAAATGAGGAAGAACGAGCGGGAAGTCGTGCGAGCCACTAGCTCCTAGCTGAGGGCAAGGACAGGAACCGGCAGTCGCGCACTGACCCAAGAAGTAAGAGACGGGTACTGGTGCAGATTGGAACATGGGCCGCGTCAGTACGAATGTGCTGAGGAAGCTTTATCACGACTTTGCGCATACTGGATGAATCATGTGCGTTGAAAGGTTCGCGTGATATTGGTGGTTCAAGCCCTCACCTCCCACATCTTAACGTGACCGGCTTCACTACCAACAGCTAACAGCGCAAAGCTTCCTTCTCTCTCCTCGTCCTCACTTGGACGTCCCCATGCAACCGAAGTTATGCGCCCCAGGGGTGTCTTCTCTGTGGGCCAATTCTTGAACACCGTCGCAGATGGCAGGTGAACGAGCCTCATCGCACCGTTCTTCCATCGACTTGCCATGGCCAACACCTGCCCGTCCGGCGAGAATGTGAGGTGTGAGGTTGGTGTCGTCAAGTTCCCTAACGCGCGCACTGGCTTCGGCGCTTTGGGAATGCCACTGTTTGCATCTGATGCGTTATCGTCTACGACAGCTTCACGCCAGGCTCTTCGGTCGTAGATGTTAACGACGCCACTCGAGCTTCCGACTGCCACCCATCGGTCGCCCCCGATCCAGTTATCACGTCCACTCTTGCCACCGAGCGCGATGACAGTCGTGCCTACGGCGCCTTCATCGGTCCATCTTCCAACGACGCCGTTATCGACACTCCACTCGGTCACCTCGCCATTCTTTCCTGCAATAGCTAGTCCTTGTCCATTCTGCCACCAGGCGAAGTCTGCGACACCGCCTCTCGACTCGATGCGCGCCTGTGTGACCCACTGCATTGTGGAAGCGTCCAGTATGTTGATGACACCACCGCCTTTTCTGGACGAACCTTTCAGGGCCATGTATTTGCCATTCGGTGATAGCGAAAAGTGTTCCATGGTCCGTTGCTCATGCTGGTGGCCGTATATACGGGAGACCTTCTCAACTTTTCCTGCCATCGCAATGTTCCAGACGTGGAAGTAGCGACGCCGAGCACTCAAGAATATGCGCGAGTCTGAAGCAGATGGGTGGAAAGCAGTCGTGGTGAGAGGAGTGCGCTTGATATGGAGGGATGTGAGTAGCGGGTTCGGATTTGGCGGGTTCGGGTTAACGTGGTGTAGGTATAGTGTTGAGCTGGGGCCGGAGGAGAGGAGCAATGGGTTAAGTGGGGTGGAACGAAAGGGATGTGACGGCAGACTGTATCATGTTAGCAAGGAATTGGATACGAACTGAACGTCAAAGCTTACAGGTGCTGATTTCATGACATCCTTCAGTCGCTGCGATATCAACAGTGCCAGCCTGCAACTTCCTCTTCTTTGCCGGCCCTCTTGCATTACGTGAGAGGATATCTGCGTCCTTCAGAAGTTTGGCCAGTGGCTGCGAAGACAAGTCCTCGTCGTCCATGTCCATGTCGCTCGCTGATTCTGCGCCGCTCTCATCGTCATCCATGGTCCGCCGTCTCTTCTTGTTTGCTTTGCCAGTCGCGTGCATGGCCCAGTCGGGCGTTGGGTACAATCTCTCGTACTGTCTTCGCAACCTCCTAGAGTATTCCTTGCCATTGACCATATCGTCATCGAGTGTCTCGCGCAGCTTCCGCAGCTGAGGCACTGAGGCCAAGCTCACAACCAGTCGCTCGTCGTCGCTGTCGTCCCATGCCGGCTTGTCGTCTTCATCCTCTGTCTCTTCCGCTTTCGAGATAGGCGCCGAACCAGCAGGTGCAGCGACTGGGCCGGCATCGAAGAAAAACAAGTCCTGGTCGGCCACACCCTCGAGGTCTTCGTCGTCGTCCTGATCCTCGTCCGAGACATCGCCGTATGCGCCGGCAGTTCTCTTTAGTGAAAAGTCCTCGAGACCCTGCTTGAAGCCTGCCGAATCTCCGAAGATCATGCGCTCAAGCTCCTCCTCTTCCGCGTCCTTTGGCAAGATGGGCTTCTCTTGCTCTGTTTCCAGCTGGATTTGTATGCTGTCATCGTCGCTTTCTTCCTCTTCTTGCTCCTCCTCTTCGCTGCCATTCGCCTCGTCTTCCTCGCCGAAGCCCTCCCATTCTGGCTGCTTCGGTTCGCTCACGGGCTGTAGCGCGCCGGCCTCGCTGTTGCTCTCTTCCAGATCAACGTCGGGCGGGAAGATGGGCGCATTTTTTGTTTTCTCGGGAAGGTAGCGCTGGTGATTGCCCGATTTATGTGGCATAGTCGTAACAGGAGCCATTGCTGCGATGTGCGTGTGCTGAACAACTGGGCGCATGCAGTCGCGAAAGTAAAGTCTTCGCCGAAAATTATTGCAAGGATGACACGGACACTTTCACTAGCGTACAGACGGCAAGCGCAAGCGAGTATCCGACATCACCACCACGACATTTGCCCACCAGGAACACGCTTATCTTCGGAGAGAGGCACATCTTGTCTACCGTTGATCGTTATTAAATGAGCCAATATACATCCTATCAGATGTTCGTGTGCTTGCGGAACTAATCGTGCATAAACTCCAACACCCAGTCAGCGAATACAAACTCCAGAGGTTGCTTCGCACACTCTGACGGAATAAAACGCAGTGTCAATTGCTCATGAGCTCATCTGACCTCAAATCGACACTCTCCTGGCCCAAACATGCTCTTGTCTCTATATAACCCCCTGTCTTCTCATGCTCCGTATGACGAACGTCTCTTTCTTTCGTAGTAGTCACCGGAGTTAACTCGAGCATTCCGATGCCGAGCCGCGTAGGAAAAGAGATTAAAGGCTTCGATCATACTTGATATACTGAGGTTGCCACGAGCCATTGCACACACCAATAGACTTTCTCCTCCGTTCGTTCTGCAAGGGTCGTCTGCATTCGCTGATCACTTCCGAGTCCTCTGCCCTTTCAGCGCCCTTCACTTGCATGAGTCATCCAAGCATAAAAAACACCATTCGACTCCAATCCCAACACCTTCTCCAACAAGAACTTCGCCATTCAAAACTCGGAACCATGCCCGACCCCAACCTCCAAGTCTCCCTCCTCGCGCCCGAAGAAGCAGCCCAATACATGCGCATCCGCCACGAAACCTTCCGCCCCACCGTCAACAAAATCCTCTACTCACGCGGCGAAGCCTCGCAGAAGACACTCGACCGCGTTACAGAAGAGACCCGCGACGGCATCGTCAACAAAGGCACTCTCTTCCTCAAATGCGTCGACACGTCCACGGGCGAAATGATCGCCGGCGCTCGCTGGCGCTACGTCAAGCCCAAGGTCCCCGGGGCCACAGAGCGCACGTGGGAAGAAGTCGATGCGGATTTCGCCGAACGTTTCAAGCCGTACGATGAATCGGATCCGGAGATGTTGAAGGCGCTATTCGATCTGTTCAATGAGAAGAAGAGGGAGTATCTGGGGAAGCGACCGTATTACGTTCTTGATACGCTGGTTACGATGGGTCAGCATGAAAGGAGGGGCGCGGGGAGTATGCTTGTGCGGTGGGGGTGCGAGAAGGCGGATGAGGCGGGTGTGCAGGCGTATTTGGAGGCGAGTCCGATGGGAGCGCCGATGTATGCGAGACATGGGTTTGTGGCACTGCCGGAGATTGAATTGGATTTGAGGATGTGGGGCGGTGAGGACGTTCTTAAGTTCATTGTAAGTATCATTTTGTGACGGGTGTTTGGCTCTGCTAACTTTGACCATAGCCGATGCGCAGGCCAGCGAAAGACGAACGCTCTGATTAGATGGCGGAGGTCTATCGATTACAATTCGGAAAAGTTTACGCAAGCAAGATCGTAAGGATCCACATAGTAGCTTCTAACAGCCAACTGTTGCGAGGTGGCGTCAAAATCAGAATAAGAATGAATGCAATTTACTTGATATAACTTGGGACACGGTCAATCCTACTACCATGAGGTATGAAAACCTCCATTCGCGATTTCAATGCTAGGCATGATGAGTATTCAGCTTCCAAGAGAAGAGCACAGAACAATGACAAGCCTTCCCAGGCCCTACCCCCTAATCCCGCACCCGCGTATGGCCGTGCCTACACCGTTATTCCCCAATCATAATCACATCCTACGCCCACATTCTCACATACTTGACACACTCTCGATATCGTGTCTCGTTAATGTGATGTCCCTCCTTCTCCTTTTCCAACCACGTCTGGACCTCATCGAACCCAATCATGGGGCGTAGCGAAAATTTAGAGACACCCCGAAGGACGGTTTGCAAGTTCCAATTTTCATGCAACTGTGTCGTTGTCTCATCGAGTATCGAGGGTGGGGGCATGTTGCCGAACATAATCTCCCAAGTCAATTTGCCTTCTTCCTCGCCTTTAAGTAAAACTGTAAGCAGGCAGCTGACGAGGATGAAGTATAAAGATGGCGTAGAATTGTCGGAGTCGAGATGGAAATCCTCGAGCATATAGCGCAGATCGATGTTAGGATGGTCTTAGGCGAAGTGAACTAGAGGAGCAAAGTCGTTGAGGGACGGCGCCATCTTATCGAACCTCAAACTCGAGTCAATTATGACGGTAAAAAGGCCATCGGAGTCTGTCATTTGATTTATATGATACGAATCTGAAGAACCACTGTTCAGCATTGCCTCGAAGAAATGTACGGTCCTCCGTCACAACGACGTCTTGACTGTGCGGCAACGTATCCTGTTACTTGAATTATAATTCAACACGGTAGTATTCAAGTCCTGCGGCCTCGGCGTATAGCTGCCTGCAAACGAACTTCAAGCTGTTGAAGAAAGGGCGCGGAAGGAGTTCGCATCCACCTGTTTTGTCTTCGAAGCTATGGTGTCGAGAAAAGGTGAGATTGCGACTCGAGACCACAGCCCACGTTTGGCGGTGGTGGAGTGGTACAGAAGCCGTAAGCACATACTGGTATATCTTGTTGCGAAGTTCGCCAGGGAAACGGAGGAGTGGAGACGGAACTTCCAGATCAGTGGTTGGTAATGCCGACATCCCTAGTCTTTCTAAAATGAGATGAGGCAGTTTGCCTTGCTTTATTACTAACATAAATGAAGACTGGCAGCTCCAACAATGTTTCGGGTCGATCGTGATGACAGATTCGCAGTTGCACTCACAACCTCGCTTTCACCGTGATACCTAGCGGAGTATCCTGTTTCACTCGCTCCTTGAGCAAGCGTCGTAGAATCTTACCACTTGCACTCTTTGGAATCTCATCAATGAACACAATGCCTCCTCTTAACCTCTTGTGACTCGCCACCTTCTTGTTCATCCAGTCCACGATAGCCAAGGCTTCAGCTTCTCCGACATTAGCCCGCTTATCTTGTGCTGCTACAATGTACGCTCGAGGCACTTCCGTATGTTGGTGCTCATCATTGACACCAATGACCGCGACATCGTCTACAAGCTCGTTCTCCATGAGCTTGCCCTCGAGCTCGGCTGGTGGTACTTGGAAGCCCTTATACTTGATCAACTCCTTCACTCGGTCCGTGATGTAGAAATTGTGCTCCTTGTCCTGGAAGCCAATATCTCCCGTCTTGAAGAAACCGTCGCTAGTAAGCGAGTCTTTAGTAGCTGTTTCGTTTTTCCAGTACCCTTTGAAGATGTTTGGACCGCTCAGCCACAGCTCGCCAACTTCACCGGGTCCGAGCTCTTTACCTTCAGCAGATATGTATTTCGCGGTCATGTTGGGAAACATCTTGCCTAGATGGGTCAGTAATATACAGAGAAACGTGAAGAAAGCTTCATACCGACTGAACCCACCGAGCTATACCACTCGTCCCATGGCTGACATGAAGTTAGAACTATATAGCGCATAACAGTGAATGTTACAAACCTGAGTGTGAGTCATTGGGCTTGTCTCGCTCAGACCATACGCTTGATTGATCTTGATGTTCAGCCGCTTGTGCACGGCATCTACCAGCTCCTTCGTCAGAGGCGCGGCGCCACTCGTGATCATCTTTACTGACGACAAATCGTACTTGTCAACCATCTTGTCTCTTGCTAGACGCACGATCACCGGAGGCGCAACATAAATGAACGTGATCCGATGCTCCTGTATTGTCTTCAGGAACGTTTCCATGTCGAATGCAGGCATCACCAACATCTCGATGCCTCGATGCAACGTCTGCTGGACTAGTCCAGTGAGACCATAGATGTGGAAGAACGGAAGCACGCCCAGGAATTTGTCGTTCGCAGATGAATACCAATTCCCGACCGCGTTCTGGACAAGTAGCAGATCAGCTACAATATTGCGGTGCGTTAGCATAACACCTTTGGGAAGACCAGTTGTGCCAGACGAATAGGCTAAGAAAGCCAGGTCTTCAGGTTTCGCTCTTCGTCTTCGGTAGCGTAACGCGCCTGACGTTTTGCGGATGTTGGACCAATGCTTTACGGAATGAGTTTCATCCTTCTCAATACCCAGTAAGATAACTCTATCATTAGGTATGCCGACTTTCTGAGCAGCTTTGAGTGCAGTCTCGAGGAATTGCTTTGTTGTCACCAACGCATGAGCGCCCGAGTTCTCAAGTTGATAAGCCAGCTCATCTGCCGAGTATCCTGGGTTCGCGGGTGTGACTATGCCACCAGCAAAGAATGCGCCATAAATGACTGGCGCGATATCGATATCATTTGGTGCATATAACGCCAGGACTTCATCCTTTTGCCAATCCCACAAATTTCGCAGCCCTTCTCCAAATAGTGTCGCTAGAGCTTTGGTGTCTGCAAAAGTATATTTTCGATCTGCATTGATAGCCCGGTATATAACTTTGTCTTCTGAAAAATCCCTATCTTTGCGGTCAAACATTAGGCCCCAGAGGTCGACGTTCGGGATATCCACATCAGGAAAGGGTGAAGTAGTCGGCATGTTGGATACGAGCTGAGGGCCAGCTGAAAGAACGAAGGCAGCCGATTGTGTGACTAATTCGAGTATTATTGAAATAGCTGCATGTAATTGTATGCTTTTGTCCCACAGAAACCCGAGTACGTGGTGTTGCACGTCGCGGAAGGCGCGGAGGAGAACCTCGGCTCTGGTGACGTCGTGCACCTAGCGTGATTCCTGTCCGTCAATCCGACTGTAGTCTACATATTAACTACACTAGTTACTCACTTCATAGTGCTTATATCCCGCCATTATAGCTCATAGTAGTCGGTATTAACCAATGAAGCCTACTGCTTACTTT